CCTACCTAAGATCCACTGAAGCAGCTTTAGAAGTGGGTGACTAGGGAGCTCTACTTGCTAACTTTCAAGTTAGGCCATTTTTGTTGGATCGTGTTCTAAAGGCCCAAATGAATGACTTTGAATCCCAGGAGTTAAAGAAAACAGTGTTAAATGGTAATATGGGAGATCTAAGGATTCGAAGGTCTGATGGTATATTTATGCAAGGCATCAGATGTATGTACCTAAGGTGGAAGAACTGAAGAAAGAAATACTCCATGAGGCGCATATTTCAGCTTGTGAGATACATCCCAGGAGTACTAAAATGTACCATACTATCTGACCTTTCTACTACTGGCTAGGAATGAAAAACGAAATTATGGAGTATGTGAGTCGTTGTTCAGTTTGTCAGAGGTCAAGGCTGAAAGAAAGAAACCGTTTGGGTTGCTGCAACCACTTCCTATACCTTAGTGGAAATGGGAAGATATCGCAATGGATTTCATGTACAAGTTGCCTCGTACACATAATGGCTATGACGGTATCTGGGTGATTGTAGATTGACTTACCAAGTTAGCGCATTTCCTGCCTATTTGTGAGAATTACTTGCTAAGTCGGTTGGCCGAACTTTTCGTCTCTGAAATTGTCAAGTATCATGGCGTCCTAGTTAGTATCATTTTTTACTTGTAGTTCGAAGACGTGGGGCACAAATGCTTACCTTTGATAGAATTCGCCTACAATAACAGCTTTCTCTCCAGCATTGTTATGTTACCATTTGAGGCGTTGTATAGGAAACCATGTCGTACACCGTTATGTTGGGCCGAGGTAGGCCAAAGAGTTTTGGTTGGTCCTAAGATCGTGGATGAGACGACACAAACTATTCAGGTGATTAAGGCTAACCTAAAAGCAACGTAGGATCGGCAAAAGAGTATAGCTGACAGACATTCAACCAACAGAGTATATAAGGTTGGAGATTGGGTATTCTTGAAGCTGTCGCCATGGGAATGCGTTGTGAGATTGGGTATTCTTGGGTTTTCTTAAAGTTGTCGCTGGGAAGCTAAGCCCTCGTTACATCGGGCTATACCAGATCATTGAGTGAGTTGGTGAAGTTGCTTATCGACTTGATCTACCTCAAAAGCTGTCGAGAGTGCATAATGTGTTCCACATGTCGATGCTACGAAGATATGTCTTTGATTCATCACATGTAATTCCTCCTCAGTCGTTAGAGATTAATCCAGATTTGACTTATGATGATGTTCCAGTAACGATTCTTGATTGGATAGACAAAGTTCTTAGGAATAAGACCATTCGTATGGTGAAAGTCTTTTGGAGAAACCACTTTGTTGAGGAAGCTACTGGGAGACAGAGGAGCATATGTGAGATCTTTATCCATGCTTGTTCTTTGATTATGATCTGTAGTAGTGTTGAAATTTCGGGGACGAAATTTTCTTAAGGGGGTACATTGTGCCCTGGTTGGCAATGTGACGTGGATGTAGTATTCAGCGTTTATTTTATTTTCCTAGTAGCGTAATTAAATTTTTATTTTCCTAGTATCGTAATTAAATAGTACCCGTCGTTACGATCGCGTGAGCGCGAATTAAACCCGAATCAAACTTGTAACGAAAAAGTTACGCTCTGTTAAAGTACGTTAACATCGGGTAGAATTGTGCATATGTGTGTGCGCTAATTTATCATTGTTGGAAACATTGTTTTTGATAAAGAGACGGATTTTTGCGTACGACTTCATGTACCAAAATGTAAAAACCTTATCATTTTCTTCTTCTTTTTTTTTAAATTGTCCCGTGTGCCCTAAAACCCTCACAACCAATCATTTTTCCTCATTTCACTCTTCACCATTCAACATCTCTCCCTAATTCCCTCACCAATTAGAGAGCCCACTCCTCACACCTCTCCCTCAATCAGAAAATGCTTCCTCACTCTCTCTCTCCCTTCTCATTCTCTCTTACTGAAACTTTCCCTTTCCCTGCAACCCTCTAGAACGACCTCAAAACTTCACAGATTGAACTCACAAACTCCACCATTGTACTCCTCTCGAACTCGTGAACCAAGCTGTCCTAGCCGATGGTGAAATGACTGAGTTTTAACTCGCCAACTCGGAAGCTCCGACTTGGTGAGTTTTCCTCCAACTAGTTTCAGGCCGAGTTACAAGGTTTTAGGACGTGGGGAAGCTTCTACACAACCCCCTAGGGCCCCTAGACTAAGTTTGGAGTTGACTTGACGTCGAAACAAGCAAGTTCGAGGAGTCGAAGTTTAGGCCAAATCTTTTGAGGCTTTTTCAAGCCATTTCCCGTCCATTTTTGGATTTTGAATGGTACAATCTTCTACTCTTCATAAGCTTCATTTTCATATTAAGTGCAAAAAAAAAAATGGTTGAGAAATGAAAAAGATATGAAGCTTTGAAATTTTTCCCAGTTTTCGACAAAACCAAACGGTGATGGACGGTGGCGACCGGCGAAATCTCACCGGAGAAGACGAACCGTGAAAGTTGACCAAATATTCTAACGGCATCAGGTAACTCCGTTACTATTTAACAGAATGTTTCATAAATTCTAATGAAATATTCCTAACGTCCGTCAATCTTTGTAAGGTGCATAGCCTGCGCATGGGCGAACTTGTGGCTGTGGGCTAGGTGGTGTGTGAGGGCCCGTCTGGCCTCTAGCTAGCGAGTGCTTGACACGTACGGGTCTGTGACTTTGTGTAGATCATTTTCGTATATTCAAACCTTCCGTTTGAGCAAAATATGGGAGATTTACCTGGCCTTTTTGAATATGTCCTATTTAATTTAATAGTTTAGTTATTTCACATTAGGTGAAAATTATCCCGAGGACGAGCAAGGCTAGGAGGCTACGACCCGACCACGTACTAGTGAGTGCACTTTTTGTTTTCGTGTATATATATATAAACCTTATTGTTTCCACAAATGCATTTGAATTGATTTATGCATATCCTGCCATTATTGTTTTTAGATTGATATTACGCCTATTATGCCATGACTAAATATGTTATAAGAAATGTTATAATGCTGTGGAACACTAAAACAATCATACGGGATGCACAGGTAAGTTTGCATTATTGACTAGAATTATTGAATGGGTATGGCATGTTTATATTTATGTAGCCTGGTCATCATTACTACACCTTGGTGTTAGTGCTCGTCTGGGGCCAGGGCTAGTCTTTCACGTGTATGTTCACCTCTGCACCGTACGCTCGCCTTGGATCCAAGTAGGTGCCAATCCTGTCATACAGGTTGCATTAGGCAACTCCGACTCGTAGGTGACCGCAATTATCACTAGTCTTGCTGTGATTGTAGCACTAGAGCATACTTATACATTACACCATAGTCCTGTTCATGTTAGAAACTATCTGCATGAACTCGTGTGTTAGCATAGATTGATGAGCAACCTATTTTCATTATGCTATTGTTGGGATATTGTGGTTTGGCGTAGTCTGGCATTATTGTTTATTTAAAGTTGTTTTCATACTTATACGTAGTATGATTTTCTGGAAACTGTACATGATTTCCAGTGAAGGGTTAGTATATTCCGAAAATAAATGTGTTTTATAAACCTTTGTTTTTGTGCCCACTCACCCTTCTATTTTTTGCCGCTCTAAGTCTTAGATAGCTGAATTCTCTGTGGCATACGAGGAAACTCCAACGGATTCTGACATATCTAAATAAATGTAGGGTTTTTCCCGGTTGTGTACTAAAGCACTTTAATTAGTTTAGACTGCACACTCTTTTGTCATCTATGCTCTGAATATTTGTACTCTATAGGTTCTAGCCACTACTATGCACTCACTTTACTAGTTAAATAAGTTCTAGTTTTAGTTTTAAATTATTCACATTTTTACATCACTCACACTTTTGCTTTTGTCAACTTCGAGTGATGGGCAACACGTCTCAACTCCGGGTGAGGTGTGTCACCTTCATTCTATTTTCCTTTATTGGCTCTATTGCTAATGGGTTACGTATTTCCATTAGCTTCTTTTGTTCCGTGGATGCGATCAGAAGGAAGTTTGTTGTGGGATGCGGCAAACTCCCTTTTCTTCTCTTCTGGAGACATGATATCTGGCAGCCATTTATGCTGGCTAGTGGTGGTTTGGAGGCACTGTTTTGGCGGCGTCAGTGATGGCAGGAGGATAGGGTTTTCTGTTTTGGAGTGTTTCTCTTTTTGGGCTTCAATGTGTGTTTTGGGCCCTTTCTTGTTTTGCTTTGAGGTTCATATATTTTGCTTTGTGAGTATCATGTAATTGGGCCTTTTGTGTATATTTGCTCTTTGTACTTTGTACTTTGTTGGTTTTTGTCCTGAATGCTATTTCCAATTTACCAAAAAAAAAAAAAAAAAAAAAAAGTCTAAACACCAACATTACTGTTGAAAAAAAAACAATGTATTTGCTATATTTTTTTTCACATAGGAAATGAATAAATCATCATGTAATTAAACACAAAACTTAGTGCATATGAAGAGTAGTAATAATAGTATAATGCTCATGAAAACGAATTGGAAAAATTTGAAAAACGGTCGAAGCAAATGTTAGACATTTTATTTTTAAGACAAGTTTACGTTCTTTTACTGTGCTCATGGTTAATCCGTGCTTGTTTCTCAAAATAAAACAACCACGTTCTTGTAATAGTAACACTCCATATTACAAAACTGTAACGAACAACGGTTGTGTTCAATTATTAGTCTCTCTGTTTCTCCTATCTAGTGATTCAGAAAAACAATTTATTTTATTTTATTTTATATTTTTTCTGATTTCAAATTAATCAAAGACATAGTTTTTTCTTTTTTTAACGAACCATATTATTTATACTAAAAGAGAGACAAGTAGGCTGAGCCTATCATTCATGTAGGAGGAATCTGATAAGTTCATTTAGATTTTGTTAGTATTTATAAATCATAAACCCACATATTGCCCACACGTTGTTATTTCATATAATAAAATTCAAGTTCGAACGTTTGGATTAGACTTTAGGAAGCAGATGTCCAACACAAATTGTAGCCTTACCTAATATGATTTGCCATTTATTATTTTAATTCCATATTAGCCTTACAAAATAGGATTATCTTAACACTAATTGTTATTAGGTGGTAAGTTCATGGTGTTCATGGTAGCGCATCTGTCTGAGCAAGAATCCATACATCCGCCAACTTTTTCTGTAATTTCTGCATACAGAAGAAAACTCATGTAAATAAATAAAACGATCAAAAGGTTTGACGCATACTATTTTCTATATTTTCAATTAAGGTCAAATTATAATTTTGTCACATTTTTTTATGAGTGGACGCAAGTATTGTCCCTTGTTGTTGTAGCACAATTAAAGGTGAGAACATAAAATATTCACATCATTTTTTTCTTTTTTGTTAAACAAGAGATTTGTTAGATTAGGAAGCAGACGGGGTTTGAAAAAAGCAATGAAATCTATATTGATGGACGATGAATTGGGCCTTAATGTTTATACCTGGGTTTTCTGCATCCAAGAAATTGTTACACAAGGAAGCGGAACATCCAAGCTTGCAGAAATAGTGATTGTCTTTGGGAACACTGAGTAAAGAAGGACTTGAGAACAGGCATTGAAGGGCGCATGCACTACCACATGCGAGAAGCATCATACCTCTGCTGCTCTTACATTTATTCAGACAGCCGGCGTAGCATTCTGGATTTTCGACGGCACTACACTGCCCCAGCAGCAACCCTAGAACCAAGTAACCAACGATCGCCACCGACAGTGTCACTCCCTTCTTCTCCATTTTCTCACAAAGTTTTTCTGTAGGAGTCGATTGCAGAAGAAGATATATCTCAATGAGAAGTAGAAAGAAAGCGTATGAGCAGGTAGGCACTTCTTTCCCCCTATTTATACAGGTTTTGAATTGTTATTTTTTATTTGTTTGAAAAGTGAATGGATAAGAAGAATAATACTCGTGCACTAACAATATATAGAGTTTAGTCGTACCACCAATAATCCTATTTATACGTACATAATTGACACTCTCTAATACGAGCATGCCTTACTATGGTATGTAGGATTTACGTGTATTATAGAGAGTGTCCAAGTGAAGTGCGTTAGTTGTGTATGTCCAAATAACACATTGTCTGCTAGGTAGTTCCAATTGTATTAGACCGTGTCAACAAGCGCGTATTAGTTTGGTATCTTTTTTGTTTTCAGGACAAAATAAATATTGTGTCTAAACAACATTATTGAATAGTGTTAATATTGTATGTAGATGAAGCAGAAGCCAGGTAGGAATCTTATTAAGGACTAGAGAGAGCACGATCCCCCCACCCCCCAAAAAAGGTCAAAATAAAAATTAAGTCCTAGCTTAAATCGTAGCTGCCTTCTTTCACTTGATACTACGTTAAATTGGACTACTGCAAATAATAATTAATTCATCACCACCAACAACTCAGCAACTCTAGTACTCGCTTCTCATCCAAAACCACCAAGTGATTTATATAACACAAAAAATTTAGTTGCAAAGTAGATTCCGGTAGGCTATCTCAAGACGAAGAAGAAAAAAAAAAATAAAAAAAAAATAAAAAAAAGGAAAATAGGCTATGTTTTAAGGGAAATGACACCTTTTCTAAAAAAGTTGAAAGTTAGTCATTTTTTTTCGTAAAATAATAAAATGCCCATTAACGCTCCCTCTTGTCGTACATCTTATAAAATTTGGCCTCCCATCCCTCTACGTACATAATTTATATCTTTGTTCACTTTAATAATATCGACCAAAAAATACAATTAAAATAGAACGAAGGATGGGAAAGTACGTTAGCCACACATTGTATATATGGTTTTGTCAAATACTCGATAAAATGTCTTATTTCAAATAAAATAAAAAATTTACGTGGCAATCGCTGTTTTTAAAACTCGACAAGAAGCTACGTACATCCGTCACTATTTAATTATGATTCGCGTCAATTAAGTTTCGAACTTCACTCTAGGCTTAAGCATTTGTCATCGACATGCAAGACGGGAGGTCTCGCTAATAGAGTGCTATCCCACATGCATTGTTGAGTTTGAATCTTTTCTTCCGTTTTCTCTAGGCATTAAGCCTTCGCTTTTGAAAAGAAATAGAGGAGGACGAAGAAGAGGGTTTAATTAGGGTAGTATTATCCACATACTTATTTTTTACTTCTTATGCATTTTTTGTAATTTTTGACCGTCGGATCGAAATGAATAGAGGAAAATCAATGGTCAAAATTAACAAAAGTATGTGAAAGATAAAAATGAGTGTGAATAACACTTTTCTTCGATTAATCCCCAAAACATAAGTGAATGGTGTACATGTATGGCCGTATATGGGATGCTAAGTACATAAATGAATGGTGTAGATCCATGTGGGTTTGTTGGAGATTAACCCAACACATGCCCTTACATAAGTGAGAATGGTATGTATGGGTTTATTAAATCTCAATGGGGCGGGGAGGGCACGCTATTGGATAAATACTCTGAGCATTCTAATGTACGTCAATTGCGAAGATTGCCAGTGAGGATGTATGAAAGGAAAAAGATAATGCTAAAAAGATCAAAATTTTAAATTAAATTTGTGAACTAAATGATGTGTCATCAATATGAAATAAACACGTCAATTACCACTTAAGTAATAATCCATTTATCAACCATCACATCATTTGGTTTATAAACTCAACCCCCCCCCTTCAAAAACAACATTATGCAAAAGAAAAAAGGAGAATATCAAATTATTTATAAAAGTCGAGAGGGAATTATAAGGGTCTCATGGTGTTGCTAATATGAATGAACAACGTTGATAATTTCATAAACCTAAAATATAGTACAATATTAATAAATAAATGCTCGTCCTATAATTTGAGTGCATTGATAAAATAAGTTGATGGTGTGAGGGCCACATAGAAACAATTTATGTACTGTATTCAATTCTTATGGACTTATAAATCCAAGAATTTTATCATGGATAATGGATTTTAAAAGATTTCTATGGATTCTTTTGGACTTTGGTGGTCCATTTATTTAACCAGAATTTTTAATAATTTCGAATTTTAATTTGAAATGGTAATATGACCATGGCAAAATGATGGTGGAACTGGCCGTGGAAAGTTGTGGTGGTGATGCAGGTCGTGGCAAGATGGTGGCAGTAGAGTCGAGGGGGTGGCAATTGTTGAGTGGCAATGGCGGTGGGGGTGATAGTGATGGTCATAGAAATAGGGTGGAAATAGAGGTGGTAGGGTTATAAATCAGTTCAAAACAGTTCTAGCTCACACCAGGCTTGGCTCGTGTTTGACTTGTTGAAGCTCATTTCATGAAAGAACCAAATCAAGCTAGTTCAGATTGAATACGAAACAAGCCAAGCTTGACATTAGTATGTTTGGCTTGTAAAGCTTAATGCCAGTATTTCAGTCCCTTTTTTACCTAGAGCCTTTTAGCCATCTTGTTTGTCGTACTAGTTACTAAACGAGTAAGGACTAAGATCACCACGACACTGTGTCTAACACATTTGTATCATTATTTTCTTATCCAACCATGTGTCATTTCTAACTCATTCTAGAATATATATTTGTGAATATTTTTTCTCATCACCCTCAAGTGGTGGTAATGCTCACCACCATACTTATCAACGTTGGATAAGTTTAAATTTCTAGATCTGTGTGTTGCATAAACAAAAATCTAAAACTTAAGCTCATCTAATGGTAATAAATAGGGTGATTAGTATCACTACTACTATATTAGCTTTAGGTGTCGGATGATGGTGGCGGTTTAATAAGCCATTATGTCGGATAAAAGATATTTACATCATTCAGTTAGTGTCGGATAACAATGAAATCCTGTCGGTTATATCCGACATAAATTCCTGGCGGATATTTAGTGTCAGATGCAACCGCCAGTATTTTTGAATTCTTTTTTTTAAATATTTTTAACATATTCCGGCGGTTTTTAAGTTAATGGTGGCGGTTATAACCAACTGAGATTGACTATTTTATTATTTTAGTTTCTAGCAGTTATTATTTTAGTATCCTTGCGGTTATAACTGACAGAAATTGACTATTTTATTATTTTAAAATGTTATTCGAGAGATGTGTTACCTTAGCCGGAGAGGGAGTGGAATCGCCGAATTGAGTTGACTGAGAAGCCATGAAACCACCGCTGGAGAAGGCTTTGGTCACTTCGAATTGGGAGCCTGAGAACATCTTTGAAAACCTTAGAAACCGATCTGGGAAAGGAAAGAGAGAGGAAATGAAAGTGGCGGTCTGAGATGAACCGGTGCTATTATACGAGATATTTACGAAGGCAAACAATCGTCCCACCAATCTTGTTTTTAATTTTTTATTTTCCCGCTGAATTTTCGTCTTTATATCGGAAAAAGGACTCGAATTGAATTTGTCTTTTATTTATTTATTTATTATTATTATTGATTTATATCTTATGCATATGAGAAAGATAATTGTTATTTATAACTTTAATGTACGTAACACTCAATTTTACGGATATTTAATTGTTTGACTTAATTTTCACAATTATGAGATCTTTTATGGTTAATGTCAACAAATCATTTTTGAATCACCCAATATTAAATACTATTGGAAAAATGAGTTATTTACATAGAAGTATTATATTCATACACCCCAAATTACTTGTCCTACACCCTTTTAATTTTTTAATATTTTTCTATCAAATGTTAGTGGTGTGCAGAAAATATTACAAAAATTAAAAAGGTGTGGGAGAAATAATTTGGGGTGTGTGAATATAATCTTTCATTTACATATAAATATATTTTTTTCACTTGTGGCCCCTTTTAGATATAACTGACACGAACAAAGGAAAATTTTGGACGGCCACCAGAATAATCTCTGAATGTTTTTTTTTTTTTTTCACTCATGGCCCCGTTACCTAATCTCTGAATTTTTTTTTTTTCTTTTGCGATTTTTTACACATGCCATCTTGGAGTATATAGAAACATATTTGACGGTTGGATTGTTAAATCTAGTTTCGTAGAATGCATATTCTATCAAATTGATAGATTTAACAAACACTTAAGAGTTAATGTTATACTTCCATTAAGTATAAAATAAGATTTATCCACTAGTGTAAATATTTTAAATTGAAGATCAAATTCATTCATTGCATTCTTATAGGGTCGAAGAGTGTAGTTATAAAAAATCATCAAAATCAGAGCTAAAATAACCGTTAAATTGTGATTTTTCGTTTATAATCATAAAAAACTTTTGTTTCGTTACCTAATCTCTGAATGTTTGTTTTTTGCGATTTTTTACATATGCGATCTCAGAGTGTGTAGAAACAAGTTTGACAGTTGGATCGTTGAAAAACGTTTCGTAGAATGTGTACCGCATCAAAATGGTAGATTAAACAAACACTTAGAGTTAATGTTATACTTCCCCATCAAGTATAAAATAAGATTTTGTGGTATCCACTAGTGTAAATATTTTAAATTGAAGATTGAATTCGCTCAATGCATTCTTAAGGGTCAAGGAGTGTAGCTGTAAAAAATCATCAAAATCGAAGCTAAAATAACCGTTAAATTGTGATTTTTCGTTTATAACCGTTGAAAACTTTTGTTCCGTTACCTAATCTCTAAATGTTTTTTTTTTCCGATTTTTTACGTATGCAATCTTGTAGTATCTACAAACAAGTTTGACGGTTTGTTGAAACTAGTTTCGTAGAATGCATATCTTCGTTAAATTTGCCTAAATTTTGAAGTGAGAAAAGTAATTTGTGCTAAATTTTTATTTATGTTTTTCAAATATTGATTAGACAATATTTAGTTTGTGTGATGACATTTTCATTGTACAATTATCTTTTTGTTTTTTTTATCGCATATTTTACATGGGTTATTATCTATTAAACCAAACAATTATTTATTTAATTTTAAAAAATGTATTCGATTTAAATACATATTATTTATTAAACCAAACAATTATTATTTTATTTTTTTAAATCGTAACAAAATTTTTGGGGGGGGGAATTTAAAATTCTGGGATAGGGAATTTAAATTTTGGGGGGGGGGGGGGGTCGGGGGGATTTAAAATTTTGGGAGAGGGAATTTAAAATTTTGGAAGGGAATTTTGGGAGGATTTTTGCCGCTATTTTTTTTTTAAAAAAAATTTCTATCGGTTTTAACCGACAGTAATGAAAATTTTCCAAAATAAAACCCCTCCATCTCTTCCTTGCGTCGGTGCCTTCTCCCTTCCCCCTCCCTTCTCCCTTTTCTCCTGTCCTCATTTCCTTCTCCTTCTCTTCTCCTCTTCTCCTTCTCGCTTCAATCACCATTGATGAACAATTCAAGAAGTAACATTCTGCAACCAGTCTAACCAGTCTGCAAAACTTGCACAAATTTCCAGTTTGTCTTTTCTTTTCTTTTTCAAATATATTTATCTGTCTTTCCAATCCTTTTCTTGTTGAGGGTCGAACTTCTATCTAACTAACTAACTAACTAACTAACTAACTAACTATATATATATATATTCAGGTGTCGAACCAGTTCCCTTTGGGACTCATGTCGAACCCGTCTCTAGTTAGGAATGTAGCACTTGTGGGGCACTTGCAGCACGAGAAAACAGTGTTCATGGATATGTTGGTGAAGCAGACTCACCATATGTCTACTTTTGATTCAAATAACGATAAGCACATGAGGTACATGAATACAAGGACTGATGAGCAAGAAAGGAGGATATCCATTAAGATAGTTCCTATTTCCCTTGTACTCGAGGATAGCAAGTGTAAATCGTATTTGTGCAACATCATGGATATGCCAGGTCATGTCAATTTCTTTGATGAAATGACTACAGCCCTTAAGCTTGCCGACGGTGTTGTCTTGATTGTGGACACTGCGAAACATGAAACAAACTTGAAGAATATGGTGTACCTTAGAGGAACATTGCACATCTCAAAGCTGGAAAATGCAGTGAATGCAGGGGAGGTCAACTTGAAAAGGAAAGAAATGATTCAGAAAGTGGTTTATATTTTTTTATTATTAATATATTTTTTGTCTATTTTATCCGACAGAGAATGTTCTTATTTATTCATTATTAATAAATTTCCTGTTAGTTATATTCGACACAAGTTTTGTCGGGTTTAGAGTATTTTCTGTCGAAAAATTCATTACCTGACATTGGCAATTCTGTCGCTTATTATATCTGTCACTGCATCCATTTTCTGTTAGATTTTGCTTAATATCCGATAATAATATACGTTTTTTTTTCTGTTATCATAGTAACACTAATAAATGGTTTTGTAGTAGTGTATTACCACCACTTGAGAGTGGTGAGAAAAAAATACACCCATACCTCTTCGACATTACTCTACCACCTTAGAAGCTTAGTATGCTTGGTAGAAATGTCACCAAAGTTAATACACTACCAAGAATCCATAAAATCAACACCTAACATTCACATGTTCATACACTACCAGAAAATAGGGCTTGATCTACAAAATTTTGCCCGACAAACCAAATTTTATTAGGTAAAAGGACTTTACCTCGACGGATTTTTTAATTGGTAGGGCAAAGATGGTCAACATTTAGGATTTACTCAAAAACTTATGTGAGGGAAGGTGATCATAGGGCAAGTCACAATTCCTCAGGCAAAATTTTGCATGAAGAGGGAAAAAATGGCGCAAAATATTTGACGATTTGCCCAATGAGTCATGTGTTCATCGACTAAGTTAACACTATAATGTTTGTTGACCAAGTTCTACTGTCGGTGGTCAAATTCCCACTCGATGTTTACCTTGTGCTTTTGCGACGGCATGGTTCGTCAAGCAAATCCATATTCATCAATTATAAGTATGTGCCTTCCTCTTCCTCTTTCTCCTCCATGCTTTCCTCTTCCTCTTTCTCCCCTTCTTCTTTGTTCATACCCTCTTTTCCCATTACCATATCCTTTCCTTTCATCACTTTGCACAAAATTCCTAAGTACCTCATGAAAAACAGCAGCAACAAATGCATGGTTATAGTGGCATTAGGGCACAACTAGAAGATAATGATGCCTAGACCCACAGAACTAGTTAGGGAAAAGAGGTGCACCTTCATTTATGAAGGTTAGGGAGTAGTATTGGTGGTAAAAATCAGAGCAGCAAGTATGAAAAGAGCAAATGGCTATTTTTTGTATTATCCCATCTATGAGTTCTTATGTGATATGAGTATGAGAACTCCTCATTAATCACGTTCAATGGACTCATTCTCTATTGTTCACCTACATACTTGTCTTGGTGTCAATCACACTAACGGCTCGAGACCAATCACTCTCCTGGAGAGAAGACATGGCATGTACTAATCTTAACGGATCGTCAATGTCCAGTTAGCAATTCTATGATCAATAACGTTTAGGAAATGTGTATGAAAGAGAATGGTCTCATGAATCTAACTTCTTTAGATCACATTCTCCTAATTACATGTTCCTTGGACTTATCGTTTAAGCGTACAACATTTAAATTAGGCGGATTCAAACAATAATCTTTACCCTTATATTAAACTATTTTAGTATCCTCATATGATTAGGTTTAGGGCACATTTTCAACAGTACGTACACAAAAAGTAAGTGAAAATTTTTAGAGTGTCTATAATAGATATTAAGGGTAATGCTAGACAAACTAAATTTGTAGACCAAATTTTGTAAACTAAATGACGTGGAAGTTGATGATTAGATTATTATTGATCAACGTGCTTATTTCTTATTTGTGACATATCATTTAGTTTGCAAATTTAGTCTTCTTAATATTACTCTTATACTTTAACGACAATATATTTTTGGCCATTAGATGTAGTCATTACATAATATATAAGGAGATAAAAGTGCCTAAAGAAAATCAATGAAAGTTAAACCTTACAATTAACATGAATTTCATAATTGTTATTCCCTTCTCACTTATTTATTATTAAGAGAAATAAATACACATAACCATCGAGACTAAAAACTTTTGGCAACGCAACTGGTTTTTGAGCACTAGTTCACGCACCCTTCCATCTTCGTTGAATCTGCCATATTACAATTTATTTGTAGGTGTCATTTAATTAGGTCAATCAATAAGACTAAAAATTAAAAACAAAAAAAACAATTGGTAAATAGAACACAAATTTTTTTTTTTTAGTAAATAATATTATCTACATTAAGAGTGAGCTTAGCCTCACAATGGATTAGCAATAATGTGGTTCAAATTTCTCTTTGGCGAGAATCGAGCCTAAAACCTTTCACTTACAAATGCAGAGGAATACCACTAGACCGTAGTACTAAGTAACAGAATACAAATTAATTAAATTCGTATAAGTCAGGTAATACCATCACAAGAATGGGCACAAGCATCCAATGAACAACCAAGATTGCAGTAGTAAAGGTTGGTGGAGGGTCCATGAACCAAACAGGTCTTCGTGCATTTCTAGGCGCAAGGCAGAAATTTCTTAGGCAAATAAGGAATTAACTTTTTCATGTCTAAGATGCACTGAAAGTAAGCAATTAGCATAACATTTATCAAAACTTGCATATGCTTCCCCAACGAACAATAGGAAAACCATAACCACCACAACTGCCTTCATAATTTTTTGCCTTTTTTTTTTTTTTAGTATTTGGTTTTATTGCTTTGGTTAAAGAACAACCAAATGTGGGTACATATACATATTACCTAGTCATGTATATCTGGCCCCATTCATTGTACATATTTATAGTTGTTTACACATGGAAAATAATCTCTAAGGATTTTTCCTTCTGTATATTGCTAAAAGTCTTTAAGGGAGTGTGTATATAGAGGAAAAATTACAGTTAGATTATACTTCCAATACTTTACTATATACTGAGACTACACTTCTTAAACATTTCAAAGAAGGACATTTTTTAAATCCGCGTAAGATGACATCATGCCTTGTTTTTCCGTTAGAAATGAAGTTACATATTTGCCCTTCCTTTTTCTATTAAACGTGATCGGCGGTCATTGACGGAATTTACTCTGTTCTATTCGGATCATTCAATTTTTGTTTTCATTTCTCTGCTATTTTTCTTTCTCTCAGAAGTTTATTTGTTCTGATTTATCTCTCGTCATCTCCCTCAATTTGCCACAATTTCTATTCGAATCATTCAAGTTTTCTTCAAAGGTAAGTGTATCTCTTTGAATTTTATCTGTTCCGATTTAGATTTTTTTAAAATGTTGTGTTTTTTAATTTATTTCGGTTTAGATTTTGAAACGAGTCTCTGATTTTTCAGTTTTTTATTGGTCGCATTGAGTTTTTTTGGATTGTTTTTGTTTTTTGCAGGCACGGTTTTTTAGTTTTGAAGATTTTGATTCAGCTTTTATTTGATCGAGTGTTTGGCGAAGGTGATTTTTCGTCCAGCTCCTTTTGTTTTTCTTGAAGTTCCTTTTGTTTTTTGCAATATAGTTATCATATATATTTGTTAGAATTGGAATGGATTAGAGTTAGTTTAGTATTTGGCAAAGGTTATTAATATTTATGCAGCATCAGCTCATAGAATCGTGCAGAATTAGTTGTCATAAGTTTTGGGAAGGTTGGCAGTGGCAAAGCCAAGAATAAATGAGGGGAGGGGCGAAATTTAAAAGCGTAAAAAGTTTTAAAAAAAATATAGACAGGTAAATCTTTTTACATAGTAGACAATATTGTTGTTGTTTATAATGTATATAAAGAAGTTACAATTCTTGGGGGCGAGGTTTCAAGTCATGAAAACGTTGCATAATAGGTTTATTATCAATGTAAACAAAAACATCGCTTTTAATGTAAAAAACCAAGCTATCACTCAACCATTGATCTCCATTTTGTTTCGCAGTGGTGTTTTGAGAATATTCATAGCACTCTTTCTCATAGTTTTGTTCCATTACATGACTGTTGTGGAGCCAAAAATAAACGAGAAAAATATGAAGGCGACATGTGGATTCTAGGGTAAAAAGGACAAAATTACCCTCAAGGAACACCAAAACTCCTACGCACAAGCAGTGGACAATCACCTCTCAATCAAGTCAAAAGTGCCCAAAATATGTATTTACTTATAACCTATTTCATCTATCCTCATCAAATCTTCTTCACAAGGTAACCCCCAAATCATTCCTTTTTTTATTATATTAATTAGCTAATTAATTGATTTATTATTCAATTAATTTGCTAATTAAACACAAATCATGAACTTCACCCACAAAACCATCCAAGTGACCGGTCTATCTCCACTCGAAGGGGTCGGCCACACCCCTATATAAACACCCGCATTCTCTCCAAAACTCAATTCCAATTCTCTTGCTAGATTCTCTAAATTCTCCAAACATTTTTCCCTCAAAATTCTAACTTTGGCATCAGAGGTTCTTTGGCCAAAGCCACCCCCCCCCCAAAAAAAAATTATCGTGGGCGCATGAGGCTCTTGGCCTTGACCTAAGGTGTTATTTGTTTTGTAGGTGCAATTTTGTCCAAGAACAAGGAGGATGAAATTTGCATCCACAAATTGGTGCCTTCATTGAGAGTTGAGTCACATGCTTGTAGAAGACTCTCGCATCTAAGGTTCTTATTTCTTTGTCTATTTGTAGATTTTTCGTACGTTCTTATTCTAGGAATTTTTATTTCTAAAAATCCTTTGATAAAACGTAAAAGAAAAGTACAATGGCAAGAGATTCAGAAACCTCGACAAACGGAAATTCAAATGTTCAAGGATTAGGACCGTGGCGATCTACTAGGCTTAACATAGAGGTGAGTGGAGCGGCACCTACACGAGGCACCACCACGATAGCCACCCAAGGCATGGTTCATGGCACAACAACCACGGCCTAAGCCATGCCATTTCAACCTTCAAGGGCCCAAGCCCTAGCTGAGCTGGCCCGTGCAATCCAAACGCAACGCAAGCCCAATGTGTTGCCAAGCTGAGTCCAAGCCTCGCACCCGTGTGTACCACACACCAAGTAGCCAATTCCCGTAGCCCAGCCTGCTCCTATGGTTCCCCAAGCAGCCTAAGTCAACCCAAGATTAGCTTAACCATCCCGGCTTCAAATTTTTGAACCTACGATTGAACCGGGGGCATTTTCACCATATTTCTCCGCGGATTTGACATTTCCCAACTCAAATCTCGCGCCCAGAGTCTACCACCCTTCCACTACTCAAGGTGGTGTAATCCTTCCAAGCTTTTCCAACTCGAATGGCGAACAACACTTGTCCCGACAAGTCGTAGAGTTGACAAGCGCCCTAACAGACGACC